GTACTTGGTGGGGGTAGATTTGAGCGGGTAATTGCATATTTCCAGATTACTAGGGAGAGTGAACTTTACCCTTTAATACACATTGTGCGTATTAGAGGGCACTGCTGCCCGACTACCACAATATGGCACACAGTGGAATGGGGGCAGCATGCAAATGCACGCCTAGGACATTGTGCGTGTTTGCATGTAGATGGCGGGGGCGGTAGAGTTCGGTTTTTGTTTTGACCACGCTTGTTGGGGTATAGAAATGATGGCCAGCTTACCGGTCCAATCATGTTAGTAGGGACTGGTTGAGTCTTTTGGGCCTTCCACTGTATTCCTGAGAACACAATCACATGCTTGTCTATGGCACGTCACCCCACTTGTAAATTCCAGGTCCTTATCTGAAGGCTAACAGGCCAGAAGCAGCTAGAGGCCGGTAGCAGCCCATCATGTTCCTCTTACCCATGTTGTCTATTTGTTCAGGGATTTATGCAGTGTGATGAGGAAGACGACGAATATGCAATATGGCCTGGCTATGCATTTGTGAAGCTGTTACCAGCACATATGGAGGTATTCCCAGCGCTGGCCAGTTCTTACAATAGATATTGCCGTGTTTGCAGAGATTAGAAGGATGTTTGTGCTTCTCCCACATTGACTGAGTGTGAGGTTGTAATCCAGATGTACACAGACTGTATCTCTTGTCTACATCCATAGTTCCCCTCATCCTCAGGACTACAGAATGACTGGAGAGTCTTCATTTTTATTTGGCATTAGCTCACTGAGGGCTCATTCACATTGCACTGTGCACAGTAGCGTGTGGCTGTGCGCTTTGATGCGTCATGCTGTGGTTTTCGGGAATCCCATTCAAGTGAACTTTCCCCCATTTCACTAACAATTTCTCTTCTGATTCCGCTCCCCTCCCATTTACAGAATTAGAAAACATTTCAAATGCTTTTGTAAAAGACTGGTACTTGTTTCATGGTTCGGTACGGTATTTCTTGGCTATTTGCCTAGGTGAAAATAAGGTAAGGATGACCCAATGTCCCCTGGGATTGCGTTGTCATGTCTCAGGAGGGTGTAAGATTCTGCATGTGCTCAGATGTGGCATCTACCAGGTATTCCAGACCTGTGCCACCTCTGTGCATATTTGGGAGATTCCTGCACATGCACACAGAGGGCAGAGATCTCTGCATGGACTCGGAGACCAGCGGCATCTGTGCACATGTGTGACAATCTCCTGAGCATGTGCAGATGTGCTGCAGGTGTGTCAGGTATGAACATGGTGACGCCAGGCAAATCTTGCCAGGGTGAAGTACCTCTTAAAGTTGCCCTCAATGGAACCTGACATGCTGAAAACTCCCTGTGATTCACTCTGATTATGACGAGTGACATCCAAAGAGTGTATTTCAGCAGGTGAAGAGCTGTACATTTTGTGACCCAGTGTGCAGTATTTTCTATATGGACTGATCGGGGGGGTCCACGTTATGTAGAACTGGAACCGGTTTCACTTCTAGCAGATGAATCGGATCTCCCACCAATCTAAGCTGATAAAAGTAAGCATGCCCAATGACCGGGTGACACAAGATGGCTACAGCAGAGGTCCTCTACCTGCAGGTTGGCACCCCACAGAGCTTCCAGCCATGTCTCCGGTTATTAGTTATGGGCTTTACACCGCCAGTACCCAACAAGTGAGAGACGAGCCGAGCGCCCAGAAATATCACCGACTGCTGAGTGTTTTATAGACGAGACCAGAGAAGGAGTTCACTTTTCTGAGGTTTTTCATGTAGCGCCCTCTTGGCCCCGTCGCATGTAGCGCCCTCTTGGCCCCGTCGCATGTAGCACCCTCTTGGCCCCGTCGCATGTAGCGCCCTCTTGGCCCCGTCGCATGTAGCGCCCTCTTGGCCCCGTCGCATGTAGCGCCCTCTTGGCCCCGTCGCATGTAGCGCCCTCTTGGCCCCGTCGCATGTAGCGCCCTCTTGGCCCCGTCGCATGTAGCGCCCTCTTGGCCCCGTCGCATGTAGCGCCCTCTTGGCCCCGTCGCATGTAGCGCCCTCTTGGCCCCGTCGCATGTAGCGCCCTCTTGGCCCCGTCGCATGTAGCGCCCTCTTGGCCCCGTCGCATGTAGCGCCCTCTTGGCCCCGTCGCATGTTGCCCCTGAATGAGGCGTTTTCATGGCACGTGTGACCTTGCTGTCCATATCTATCGCAATCTCTTAGGATGTTCCTCTTCCAGGTTCACTCAGTTCATAGACATTGTATGTTAGGAGTGCTATCTTCTTTTTCTGACCTTATAGACATATTTGTTTCTGCGGCCACAGATAAGGAAATGTGCTGATAATATTGTAATGATCTCTCCGGTTTACAGGCTCAAGTAATAGTAATGGCAGGAACTGTACTAGCATTCCTGAGTCAGGGAGTCCAAGTTTATATTTTGGGGTTCCTGTGAGAAGTAAAACTAGCTGCCTGGAGATTGATAGAGAACTATGGGATAAGTGTTTTTCCCCATAGTTCTCTTTAGGGTCATGGGAGGACATATACTAACCTCCTCCCGTGACTCAAAGCTCAGTATATAGTGAGCTATCGCCCACGATCTACTAAGACTGCCTGAGCTGGGACGGATCCCAGCAATGCTGTCGAGATCCACCCAGCTGCGTGAGTGACAGCTGGCTCTGCCTATCTAGAGTCAGAGCCAGCTGTGCCCGCCCCTTCCATTGTCCGTGCCACCAGTCAGCACTGGAGGATCGGCGAGGGGGGGCAATCCCTGCGGGGTGCGGTAAATGACAGTCACTGCTCTCTGCGAGCGATGATATGTGTGATCACTTCCCAATCAATAGAGCCGACGTGCGACAGCCTCTTTGTCACAGGTGGGCTCTGACTATGAGGATGAGTGGAAATCACTCGCCTCATAGATCTCCTTTTAAGGTGAAATCTTGCTATGGTCACTGATTCCCCCCCCCCCCCCCCTCCCCCCGAGCGCGTGT